CCCCCCCCCACACCCTCTGGTCTATACCCCAGTTCTGTATGCATAAATAAATAAATCTTCAGAAAAAAAGATACAAATTCCTTTCAGCAAGACCTATGTCCTTGGAGAAAGGCCCTGCTCTGATGTGGCCATGCAGCTGGTACTAGAGGGCAGAACTGGCCAGAGGTCTTACAAAAATAACCTAGACATTCTCAGGGGGATTATTCACACTTGTTCAGAACGCAATCATGCAAAGCAGACAAGGAGCACAGGGATGGCCAGGTAGAGTGGCACTGGTGAGAGCCAGACAGTGACTCCTCACACAAACCGGGTCATTAAAAACCTGATGATGGAAGCTAACGCGAGCCTATCTGGTGGCAGCAGGAATCTCACGCGAGAGTCAGAGACTGTGCAAATGAACAGATTCTTGGATGTCTGACTTCATAATAAAATCACTTTGATCTGACATTCACCTTGTTTTCTAGCATTTAAGGTCCAGGTGGTCCCCAAAGATACCAGAACCCATGTTGGGGAGGAAATTCCAGGCCTGAACAGGGGGAAACACTGACTCAAAACACAGCCTCTTTGGGGGCCCTTAAAGGGAGGCGGCTCCCAGATGTGCACACAGCTGCTCACAGCTGGAACGCTGGCGCATGGGCTAAGTCGTAAATCAGGGCTGGCGGCTGAAAACAGTTTGCCACATAGGGAGGGAAGGGAAGAAAAATGTTCAAGCTGCTGAAAAGGAGCCGAGGCGAGGAAAATGCTAAAATCATCACACAGGCAGTAATCTTAAATCAGGCATAATGCCTGACTAACAAATTTCTTCTGCAATGGTCTAAAGAAAGAAACTCAATCCCCTCCTGTACCTTTAAAACATACAACCACCCATCTTCGCAGCCGCCCACCTGACAGGCACCAGCACTGCTGAGGAAGCTGTCGGCCCGGGTGCACACCACAACGTAAGGGACCGCAGGGCTGTTTCCAAGGCCGGGCGACACCAGGCCCCGCCGGCAAGGAGACTGCACTGGCTGGTGGCGCGAGCCAGACTGCTCCTTTGAAAAGGACACAAACCTCAGGCCGAGGCGGACACTTGTGTGTGCCACAGTGGCTTTTCAGAAGACTTGCCCTGCGATTGTTTTCACTCTCGTTACTTCGCTACTTAGCCAGAAAATGAACCAAATGACAAGAGCCAGAATACAAAGAAATACAAAAAGAGAGAGAGAGAAAACCAAGCCTCCTTAGGAAAGGATCTCAAACTCCTATCAGCACAGTGTACCATCACGATACACAGACCTCCTCAGAGCAGGACAGCTCTAAGAATAAGGGCGTAGAAAAGAAAATTCACCAGGGAAACAAAGACCAAGACACACACACACACACTCAGAGCCCACTTTCCCTTACATCCTCCAGTCCTTCATTCTTATTTCAGTTCTTTTTAGAAAGCTGGTCTCTCTTTGCCCTCCTACGGTGAGCAGGAGTCACTGGTGCAAACCTTTATTAAATACTGATGCCAGGCCCCTCCCTGGTGGCACAACAGGGGAGGGCACAGTACCGCAAGCCAGCCGCAGCCTGAGCCGCTTCAGTGAGGGTTCGATCCAGGCCCTGGAGCTTACCCACATGGCACGGCAGACCTCTCCTATCTCGCCCGCTGCTCCCCTCAGCAGTGGATTTCAGTCAATCTGCCTGTTCTGCCCCCCGCTCTGTCTCTAGTGAGTCGTCTCACCGCCCCTGCACCTCTGGCCTGTACCCCAGCTCTGTATGCATAAGTAAATAATTCTTTAAATAAATAAATCAAAACCGATGCCCAGATTCAACCTGCAGCAATCCGAATCTGACCGGTCTGGAGGACATCTTGGGCATGGGAGGGATCTGAAGCCCCAGGCTCCACTCTCCTACTCCCTGCGACTGTCATGTGGAGCCAGGGCTGAGAGCAGAGCACGGAGAAGATGGCGCCTGTGAAAACTGACACTAAGCATGGGCTCACGGCAGGGTGCTAGAGATGAAGAAGCAATAGGTGCTTGATCCTTTTCAACTTTAAGGGTGTGTTACATTCCTCACCACCAAATGCTTCCCAACCTTGAAGTAAATGAAAGCAGTGGAAATTGGGGGCTGGATGTGCTTGTACACACACAGACCGAAAAGCTGTAGATGAAAAGAGAGGCACTAAGTAAGTGCTTGTGCTTCTGCAAGCTAAAGAAAGCTTACAGCAAACGATCAACTCAAAATTTCTCAAACGCACGTTCCAAACTGAACAACAAAAAGATTCTAAAGGAAGATGATAAATGATTTCTTATTCAGAATGTACCAGGTTCCACAGAAAACATACATACCACAGAACCATACGCTTCAAAATGGTGATGTTTATCATGTGAATTTCACTCAATTAAAAAAAGAATATAAAGTGCTAACTTTGGAATAAAAGGAAAACGTGGGGGCCCTCCCTGGTGGTGCAGCGGGTTAAAGCGCAGCACTGAGAAGCTAAAGCCACTTCCCCACGAGTTCGATCCCCGCCTGCCCCGGAGGTGACCACATGGGCGGCAGACCTCTCCTGACCGCCCGTTGCAGTGTACTCCTCAGCAGTGTGCTTCGTCGACCTGCCTGTTCTTGCTCCCCGTTCTGTCTCTGGTGAAGCCTCTCACTGCCCCTGCACCTCTGGCCTGAACCCAGTTCTGTATAAATGAATAAATAAAGCTTTAAAAAAAGGGAAAAAGTGAAAGGGCAGGCAGTTAAAAGTCCCTTTTCATTCGCAGGAAGGTTCACAGAAGACCCTCCCTCCAAGGTAACTTGGCCTCCTTTTAATGGAGAAGACAGAGTAGCTGAATGCTTTCTAGGGATTTATTTTTACACCCTATTAGCAATACAACTCAGTTGACATAAAATACATTTCACGCTCAGCCAGGAGGGGGTGCGACAGTCAGTCAACACGACTCTGAGAACGCTCTTTGGTTTGCCATAGCACCTTGTAAGTCATACACACAAATAGAAGGAACCAAAAGAAATGTGCTTGTGCGTGCACAACCCTGTTGGTGAGAAAAAGGAAGCTTACCTCTCTCTTTTTTTTGGATTTGATATCATCCGCACTATTGGAGAAATTGGATTTCCTCTTGTTACTTTCTGACTTCTCCCTGGGTTTATTATTTTCACCTTCCTTCATCTTCTTATACTTTTTCATAAACTCAGAAATTAGCTCAGGGCAATCCAAATTTTTCTCAGGTTCCCAAGTATTGTGCTCCCTGGGCGAGAATGGAGAAAAGAGAAAAGAATGAGCAAGAAAAATACAACACGTAATTTTAAACACAATCAATAGGCAAAAAGGAAAAAAACCTATAGGAGACAACAAACTTCATCAGAGGAATTCAATTGAAGGAAAATGAAAAAATATGTCCAAAGACTCACACACTATTATTTATGGCAGCGATTTAACAGCCAAAGAAAACAATCAAATAGCCATCACATGGTGAATCAAAATGTGGTATATCCATACAATGGAATACTATTCAGCAACAAAAAGGAACAAAAATATTCATACATGCTACAAAATAGAAGAGCCTCAAAAACATTATACTAAGTGAAAAAAACCAAGTGCAAAAGAGGATATACTGTCTAGTTCCATTTATGAAATGTCTAGGAAAGACAGATTTAGAAACTTCTGGAAAGCACATCAGTGGCTCCCTGGGGCATGGAATTAACTAGAAAGGGGTTGAAGGGAATTTTGAGAGGTCATGAAATGTTCTAAAAATAGAGTGTAGGTGATGACTACGCAACTCTATAAACTTATTAAAAATCACTGTACACGTTCAACATATTTTAGGTTATGTAAATTACATCTCAATAAAACTCAAATTTGAATTCTGCTTTACAAGTAGTTAAATATTATTATTTCATACACATAATTATGCAAATCCTAAAGTTAACAATTTAACAAATCATGCAACATTCTAGTTTACATTCTTAACCATATCACTTATATTTTGAAGAAATGTCAAACTATTGGAGGATTGGAAAGGTAGACAGAAAAAAAAAAAGCAGTAAGGTCTTAAATCACTAGAATATAGGCAAAGCGTTAAGGAGAGGATTCAGAAGTGGGTTTTGTAGTTGCATTAATTCAATACACTGGGCTTGTCTATTGTCAATAGTAGTCAAAGCACATTTTTATAAGCAAAAAAAGACCCTCAAACTGAATAGCTGGATGTAATGAAACTTGGATCAAGAAAGTACTATTACAAGGAAAATAAACTGCTAATTTCCTGCTAGTTTTTACAAACTTTTACTCTGTTTCTGGCACTGATTTTAAAAAACCAACCACCAAGTGTATCCCAAGCTTATGGATTCAAAGGAAGAAACTCACCTATGCAGGAAAAACTAGAATCTAGTTCTTTCGATTCTATAATTGGGGCTCGTTTCTATTAGACACTGTGTAGATACACCATAGAAGTGTTTTCTGCAATCCCTTCACTGGTTTAGGAAAAATCTTTTCATCCATGCACTGTTCACTCAAGGTAAGTTTTTCGATATTTGTTTTTTAAATAAGGTGTCTTTACATGTAATGGTTTGAACGCATCATAATAACTTGATTCAAAGAGGAAGCAGAGTGATGAGGAAAATCTCTCATATGTACACTAGATTTAAGTAACTTTCTGTAAAGGGAGCTTAATTAAGCACGAGACAATTTTATTTCTAAATCATTTGAGCTATAAGTGGAAAGCCTCTCCTTCAGACCTTACTGTATCAGGAAAAAATCTGCTTACACATTAACTTTCCCCCAAATCCACAGACTCCAGAGTTGGCTGTCCCAGAAGAAATTAAGCACCAAAACCAAGAGATGTGTGCCAACATAAGCAAGCAGACTTGGGGGTAGGAGCCCCTGCTGACAGGAAGGAATGCTGCTCCCTTAATGGGATGACCCCTTTCCCTACCCCCCAAAATAACAGCATTATTTAAAAGAGCGAGGGCTTTCGGGTCAAAGAAATCTGATACTGGATCTTGTTCCAGCACTTACCAGGTATGTGATCTTCAGCAAATAACGTCACTAATTTCCTCACCTGTAAACTGAAAAATACCTCTAAAGGCTGTTAAGAGAATCAAAGAGAACACAGGCGGTAGATGTGACTACCGCCTAACAGAGTTATAGAAATGCTGACGGGGCAGAATTTGTTCCAGTCTTTCATGAAACCCTGGGTATTTTTGACAAAACATCGCAAATGTTTATCATTCCATCTACTCCGAATCCAGGCTTTCCCTCTTTTGTCTATGCTAAGATACTAGCAGTTCAACTACAGATATAAATGCTTCAAGCACCCTCAAAAGTCCCAAGGGTTTCCTGTGGTGATTCACTGGGTCCAACAAACACCCTTAAATCTTTTGGTTTTACTTTACCTCCTACTTCAGTGGTCCAGCTCTTTCAAACGCATAGCCGTCCTCCCTGGGGACGCTGTGACGTCACTCCTCCTTAGAACTACGGAGGGACGATCCAGCCAGCGTTTGCGGCTGGGCTGCGTGCTGGGGACACTCGGCCTCCCAGAGTGCAACGGTGTCCCACCCAGATCCCAGCAGGGTTCCAGATGATTCCAGTGATGAGATCATCGTAACTCGTTCTCAGAGCTCCTGACTTGTCTCCAGAGGTACTAGCAAGCATCGAATCTTTTAGTATAGTTAGAGCTTTAAAGCTGTCCTATTCAAAATGGCCACCAGCAACCCTATGCGGCCAGTCTGAACTGAGATGTGCAACAAATACCAGATTTTGAAGACTTAGCATGAAGAAAATAATGTAAATCATTTCACTCATTTTTATTAAAAATTTTATTGATACTGAAATACTACTTTGACCTCGTCTAGTTCTTTGACCTCGTCTAGTTCGCTGGGAAATCCATGTCTTTATCGGGCATCCTAGCAAAAGAATCAGAAACGGAAGCCAAAGTCTAAAGACCACACTTCATGCACTGCCTCTCTTCCTGTGTCCCCTACGTGCCTAGCTCTGTTTGTTCTGAAAGAATCGAGTCTAGTACTTCGGCAGAGTCCGTTACGGGCTACCAGACGTCCTAAGTCACAATTTCAGTAGCGTTCTTAAAAAGAAAAAAAAAAAGGACAGATTATACTAGGACGTTAATTGTAGGAAACAAGTTGTATGTAGTTAAGATTTCATTCAATTTATTTGGCCTCAGCCACATATTTTAAATTTTTAAAAATAAAAATGTTGGGGGGAAATGCGGCCTCTGACTTCAGTCTCTCACGCATGGGAGTGCCTCGTACTAGGACACTCTGAGAACCAGAATCACTCTGGAAACCTACGGGATCGAAAATCATTTCCACTTTTGCTCAATTCGGGTAGCTTAGCTATGACGTGGAGAGCAACAGTTTACAAGCTTATGTGTCAGGCTCTACACACCTACCTAACACCGCTACGACAATTACTATTTCTTATCCCTATTTTACTGAGGAGAAAAAAAGATTTAGGAACTTAAGCAAGTTCACCCAGCCCCCAAGTGGCAGAGCAAGAATCTGGACCCAAGTCTATACTGCTAAGCAGTCACTTCAGTGCCTCTGGAAAGCATTATCATTAGAACACCAGCCACAGCAGACTGTGTGATTTACTGTTGTGTCTTCCGAACATGAAGCAAGTCGTGCAGGGAGGCGAAAGGAGAAGACAAAGATGGCGGTGGTTCCCGGGGAAGTAAAGTCAAAGTGTCTCACTGCGGAATTCTAAAGCCTAGGAGAAGACACTTACTCAGAAAATCCTTTCCACTTCAGTAGATACTCCACTTGCCCCTTAACCACACGCCTGTCTAGCACCTTCTCCACAACGTATTCCTCCTCATCCTCTGAAGATGAACTATCGGCTGTCCGCTTGGTTTTCTTTCCCATGTCGCACTCTGTTCCACCTGAAGGACTAAGTCCACCAGGTTCCTGCAAGTGGGAAGGACAAAATGGTCAGAATCCATGTCAGGAGCTAAAACTTTCTGCTGCTTCTTCATGGGGTGCAGGGATCTATCACAAAGTGGCCACGTACCCCTCTCTTGGGCCTTGAAGCATTCTATGGATGAGTCTGAAGTTTAATAAAAAATGGGTCAGTTCCCACTTTCCCAACCACAACTTTTTCTTCAGCTAACAAACCAAAGGTAGTTGATGGTATTACAATCACCTAATTTTCCTAGTCCAAGCCAAGTACTGTTGTACGTTACTCCCAGCTACTTCCACACCTGTCTATAAGGCAGGAACTCAAATGAAGACTGAAGGCGAACCTTCACTTCAAAGGACCCACGACAGAGTGCAAATGAGATACTTCATAAAAATGAAAGCAACGCCCCTTTGCCCGGGCGGGCGACCAGCCTCGGGCGGGCGACCAGCCTCGGGAGCACAGCGCCTGTTAGGCTTCCTGCAGGGGACGGCCGGTTCCCTTCAGCAAACTGAGCTCCAGCGTTCAGCGCTTCCAGCAGCTCACAAAAGCTGTGCTAACATGTCAAACACATCAACTTTCTTTCATTTGGTGGTGGAGGGGAGAGGGGAGGAGAAAAAATTTTTTTTGTCCTAAAAGTCAAAATGAGTCCTTGGACTGCTCAGCAATTCTCCAGGCTCGACTCATCCAAAGGGCTAAGAAGGCCTCTCTCCCCTTAACAGAAGCTGAGTTTGGGCCAAGGAAGAGGAGGAGGAGAGGAGCCTGGCCCCAGACTCACATCAGCCCAGAGCCTCAAAACACAGAGGGCCCATTCACAGGCCCAAGGGGCACTGAAGCAGGAGGCACAGATGGAAATGGGGTTGGGCTGAGAAACAGGCACAAGCGGGGGTCCTCGGCCGAGCCCAGTCTTGAAATTTTCTGTTGGTACCATCACCGTGTTTAAGAATTCCTTCCTAACCATGTCAAACGGTGCCTCGTCTGAATTCCAGCGTGGTAGCAACTGTTTTCTTAGCTGAACTCCATTTTTATTTTGCTGTCATCTAAGGATTTCCTCCAACATACTCTATTCCCAACCTGACCAGAAGATCCTTGCCAAGATCTGGGAAGGCCACTAACCTCAGAACTGTTCAAGTAACAGTTTATCAGGTACCTCAGATTAGCAAAATTGCTGGAATTATTCCAAAAATACATAGTTGCAACCCCTATCACCTGAACTTACTGCAATAGGTCTGCCCACCAAAAAACAAACAAAAAAACCGAACACCCACAACCACCAACCCCTACCTATCCCAGTCTCTGCCCTGTAATAAAACCCAGTTTTCATTAAAACACTTTTTTTGGCTGAGGGGGTGTAAAGGAGAATGTAAGGTTTCAGAAGAATTTTCCATGAATTTTGTAGTTCTAAGCTTCAAGAAAAAATGATTTATTTCGAATAAAAAGCAGGCTCCGACCTCAGCAGAGACAGGAAATGTCATATTCCAGGGAGAGTACCCACCCCACCCCCACTCACCTTGGAATTTCCGGGAGCTGAGCGGTTTGGGTCAGAGCGCTGGGTTAAAACCAGCCCCGGGTGGGAGGCCTGCGGCCAAGCCAAGCATCGTGGCCACGGCCTCCCGGCCTCACGGGGAGACACAGGGATCTACATATGTGCTCTTCAGTTTGAGGGAGAGAAGAGGAAAATCTCTGAACACCTTCATGCGGAAGAGCCCCTTGGTAGCGGATGAACCGGGGTTCCCTGCTTTACCTACCGGATCGCCCCAGTCCTTTCTTCCCCTCTGGGCTAACAGGAGGGGCCTCCCCTCCCAGGTCTGGGGCTTGGCGGGCTGGCAGCTCCCCCGCCCCCACCCAGCTGCCTGGGCGCCACTGCGCAGCTGTCCCACTCCGTTGCCATGGCAACTGGCAGCAGTACTAGACGGAGGGGGAGGCAAACGGAAAAGTTAAATGGCTTAACTTTCCCTTTCATGAAGACTAGGTGGAGATCTTGGGAGGGACCGCTCGCTGGCCTGGAGGCCGGCCCCAGGGCTCGGGGGAAAGGGCCCCTGGGTTTTAGACCCCAAACTCGGGTTCGTTCTTCTATGAGCACGGGGAATTCATCAATCGCTTTGTAAGATCGTCTAACAGGATTAGAGCTGGCTGAACGGGGGAGGGGACGGGCAGACGGGCTGCTCCTGCAACGGGACCGCACACACCACCCACCCCTAATCCGGCCCACCAGAAGCGCTTTAGACAAGGCCTTTCTCCCATCTGTCACAGAACAGTTCATTTAAAACGCCTGAGTGTAAGTCCTGGGGGGCTGGGGGGCAACGACAGGAAGGGGGAAGGAAGGACCTCAAAGGCACTACACAGCTTTCCTTCTTTGGGAGGGTGCTGGAAACAGAATCTGGAGAAAGCAGATTGGAAGCACTACCAAAGACCCTTTCAACTGAAATCACGGCAAGAAAACAAAAAAGTCATTCCTAAGTAGTGTAATAAAAGGAGGAGAGCGCAGTCCAGGCACCAGCACTACTGCTGAATTAAAAACACTTCTCATTAGTTGCTCTTATTATGAAACAATTTTTAATGATTATTGCCCGACTACAGAGATCAACAATCCCTCGTCCTTTAGAAAATGTAGTGAGCGACTAACAGACACAGACTTACAGTTTTCATGAATTTTCCTTTCTGCTGGTTCTAAGATGTAGGAGCTCCAAAACCCTGCCTGCTTACAGACCCAGGCTTCTAGAGCCAGAGCTACAAGAGTGGAAGGGGACAAGCAAACTCAGAGAGCCTGACTGAGAGACAAGCAGAAATTAGCTTGGTTATCAAAGAGCAGAAACTAGGGCACCAGAGCAAAGAAGGCACTTCCAGCCTCAGGATTACCTCGCATCAGGGCATCCTGGAGGAAAAGCTGCCCTTTTCGACGCCTAACTTTCAAAACAGGAATTTTTTTTGTAGTTAAAGGATATAAAAACAATGTCAAAGAAACTAGATCAGGGTTCTGCTTCTGTGATTAACTTGAGTGATACTGAGCAAATAAATTTTAGAACCTCAGAATCACTAAAGTGGGTCAAATAAATCTCTACTGCCTACCACCTAGTGAAAGAGTGAGTTATGTTGAAACCAAAGAGCTGTTGAGTCCCCCAAAGAGAAGCATTTATAAAAATATCACTGGGTCGAATACAACAGCAGCAGGAAATATGTGACTTTCCAAATTCCTGAGCCTCAAACAATATCACATGCAGTGACTCCTGCAGTGCAACATGCGAGCCAAGAGCAAAAAAGGAGAAGAGTATCCCTGTTCACCAGTTTCCAGTCAAGTAATAAACTTGCAGAGAAGGCGGTTATCCGCTCTCTCAAAGGTAAACGCTTACTCCCTGAAACTCAAAATCAACACTGGGGACCACAGAATGAGATTAACAGTAATTCTGTGAAGGCATAAGGGACAGGAACAAAAAAACTTTTTTGGGGGGCGGGGGGGGGGGGAGGGACAAAAATATTCCAGTGTCCATCCCTCTTTCTAACACATTGGGAAAGAGAGTCAGATCAGCTCCATCCTATCACCCTTAAGAACTGCTTAAAAGGCGCGTGACTGAGGTCCCTTTCTCTTTGGGAAATGGATTTTGTAACAGCTGACAAATCAAAGTGGGCCTGATGCCAGGAGTCAGAGTCCAACCATAATATTCTGTAAAGAATGGCATGCAATTGTCTTGTAAATCTCCTGGACAGTCACAGATCAGAAGCCGGCAAGGATGACGACATAGTTCTGATGGAATGTGTCTTATCTTAACCTTGAAGTTACAGATCTGCTCAGGAGCAGCAGTAAGAAATGAGAAATGCACTCAGACATTGGAGGGGACATAATTCTCTTTTAGACAGTGCGACCCAGTGTATTAGGGTCAAATGAAACACAAAGCCAGACGGACAATTTAAGAGCTAGAGACCGGACCAGATAAAGCATAAAGCCTGGTGGTTCCCACTGAGCTTGGGAGGGAGCGTTCCAGAATGAGAAATGAGACATGGCTGGCAGGATGATGGAGTGATTGAGGTAGAATCCCGATACCATGACGGAGGAGGAGAGGATGAGTCTCCGAGCGCAAACTTATCCTTGTGGAAATCTCCATGGGAAGGGGGGTTAGCTTCTCAAGTTTCTAGAGTCTTTCAGGCATAACAGCTCAGTCCTGTCTTGAATATACACAGGAACTCCCTGGTAAAGGCATCAACAACTGTAGATAGATTCCAGCGATTTAACTGCCCATCAGGCCGTGAGAGAGGAGGCAGCTTCACCTTTGCGGGCCTCTGTACGCTGGGGAAAAACACCTACACCCGGATCTGGTGAGAAGTCAGTGTTGGAAACACATCAAAGAGCTTTGCAGTCAGGCACAGTCAGAACCCACATTCCAAATCGCTGACGGGAGACTTCTTTAACAGATGAATCTTCCCGAAGGGAGGGAAAAAAGGGAAGAGGTGAGGAGGTGAAACAGCAAGAAGAGGAACCAAAAAAAAAAACCCACATTCTCAGGGTAAAAGAAAAAATGTGTAAAAGCTGCTTGTCCTCAGAAATTTGAGGGCCATACGGAAAGCTGGGGCGATCTGGGAGAGCAGATGTCCTGGTCTGCTATTTGCACTACCCAATAAATTCTGGAACCAAAGAACCACCCACGAGGGTCTCGAGTCTGGCCTGTCCGGTTCAGGGTCACCTCTCATCCCTCTAGTCACTACTTCTCAGCACCAGCTGTCTGGCGGCTTTTCTTAGATCTTAGTGTAGCACATTCTATTTTCATCACTACTCACAAGCAAAAAATATATATATACAACATAATCCTGAATCTCTAAGCTGTCTTTGTATTGTTTGAGAAGGAGTGAAAACCAAATTGTAATTTGCCTCACTGACCTATCTGAAGGTGGTAGAACCAATGGCAAAATGCAATGTGACCTTTCTTCATTTTAGTTTCACTATCAATTCTCTAAGCCCACTTAAAAGGCAAAATCATCCAGAAAAAAAGCCAGGCTCAACAGCAGAAAAGGGCGAGGGTGGCTGCAAAGCTGCCTATCACAAGTATTGATTAAAAGTGGGGCTGATGCAGAAAGAAAAGGGAAAATACCGATGGTTTCACTCATAGCAGGAGTATAAAGGACCAGGGGAGAAAATAATAATAATAATAATACTGGTACTGAACAACTATATACCAGAGACATATATTTTACGGGGGTGAGTGGGAATGGGATCGAAAACCGGGTGGGAGTGCACTGGACTATGGTGATGGCACACAGGAGATCTGGGGATGGGAAGCCCACAGGGATGACAACTGAGATGGGAAAGGCACAAAGCGATGTAAAAATAAACTATTATATCATAAAGAAAAAAAGTGGGGCTGATGGGTGACTTCAGGAGGAGTCTTGAGAAACCCCCTCCCCCCTACCCTGTCCCCCTCTCTTGGGGGAGCTTAGGTGGCTTAGGTGGAGGTAAAATTGTCAGCTCCAGCACTGTCATCTAGGCATCCCCTATGTCACCTTACGGGAGCAAATAAAGCAGATGAAAAGAAACCGTATTTACAGAACCATCTTAATCTGGTCTGCGTTCCTTACTGCTGATGGATTTAGAAATGCCAACGGTTTTAGGTTTTGTAAAACACACAGCATAAAATTAAAATACTCTATAAAGATGTTTTCTTCCCTCAGATTTATGATTTCCAAAGTATTAGCCATGTGGCATTTTAGCAAAAACACAGCGCAGAGATACACATTTACAGCTGTCCAGGCTGTCTCAGGTTTTGTTAAATGGGTGATAACTATCACTCCACCTCCACCAAAAGGCCACGAGCACCCAATTCAAGAGCTAAAAGCTTTTTAAATGTCTATTTAAGAGACTGGATTAGGAAAGAGCTGAAGAGGAAGATTAACTGTGGTCGTTAACACCCCTATCATTAACACGCCACATAGAGACAACACAAACTTTATTAATAGAGAGGAGTGTGAGGAAGTGCTTGCCCTTTGCTAGTTCAGCTCCAGTTCGTGAGCCTGTAAAAACCAGGCCAAGGCGCTTTTCAACCAGCCACAATATTCTGGGGCAAACTATCCTGTTTGCGGATCAGCCAAGTCTCCTGTTCGTAAAATTAAAACAGACACATTACAGGTAGAGTCTGCTTCTAAAACTGTATTTGGCTATTGATCCTCAAAGCTCTGGCCACCCCTGAAAGATACACAGGAATGTGCAGGTACCACAGGACTCAATTCTCAGAACTGTTCTGATTTACAAACCTGGCTGAGTGGTATATTTAGCAGTAACATGGGTTCTTGAAATCTCATTACCAGACCACAATGCCACAAACTAATGATTTTATATGGGATTTGTGGGTTTTTTCCTTTATTAAAATCTACTCAATTTCTTCCCTCAAGGGCCAATCTTTTTTAAGTTTAGTTAGGCACACCTAAACCCATCGTCAGGCAAGAGATTATATATCCAACTGTTGCAAGATTTACGAGAAAGTAGAATTTGGCACCACTATGGAAAAAATGTCTTCCAGATGGAGCTTTCCAACAACTGGAATGTATGCACTCACCTCGAGGCCCTGCCCTCTCAGGTGGGTGTTAACTCCAACCCTCGCCTCTTGTCACTAAATGTGATGAAGCATAAACTAGTAGATTCTGTCACCTTTCAAGAG